AACTTCAACACACGCTATAATTCACAACGATTCACGCGCTTTACTTACGAGGCATACCATCCGATTGACTCAACTATCCGTGTCTATATCTTCAATCTCTCTATCTGCGATTCCAATTCCGATTAATTGTCTCGCTTTATCTGGCGCGCTTATATACAGCAATAGAGGGTATCTAGCAAATACTGAATTATTCGTGATGTTCCCCGATCCTTTTAGATACTCATTACATGTTACCAGCGTCATGTGACTTCCGCTGTCGTAACAATATACAACTCATGTCTTTGTCAAGTTTAGTAGACTATACATTTACCACTCACACAACTTCTAAACATATACAACTAATGTCTTTGTCAAGTTTAGTACACTATACGTTTACCATTCACACAACTTCTAAACATCAAAAATAAACTCTTGTCATGGTAACCTATGCCAGTGCTTCCCAAACTTTTCCAGCTCGCGGCACACATTTAATAACCCAAACTTTTTGCGGCACGTGCAAATAAGTCCTTATGGCACCCTCCTGACTAAGACAGGCAGAAATTACTGTTATATTGTGTATCAAAAACAAAATCACAGTATACAATCACAATCGCAGTACACAATATTTCTAAACATCTACAGATTACAAAATGAACCCTTGTGATGGCTAGTAGCCTATACAATCACAATATACAATATTTCTGAACATCTACAAACTGAACCCTTGTCATGGTTACTAGCCTATACAATCACACTATACAGTATTTCTAAACATCTACAAACTGAACCCTTGTCATGGTTAGTAGCCTATACAATCACACTATACAATATTTCTAAAAAATCTATAGTTTACAAATTGAACCCTTGTCATGGTTAATAGCTTATCCAATCACAGTATACAATATTTCTAAACATCTACAGTTTACAAAATGAACCCTTGTCATGGTTAATAGCTTATCCAATCACAGTATACAATATTTCTAAACATCTATAGTTTACAAAATGAACCCTTGTCATGGTTAGTAGCCTATACAATTACACTATACAATATTTCTAAAAAATCTATAGTTTACAAAATGAACCCTTGTCATGGTTAGTAGCCTATACAATCACACTATACAATATTTCTAAAAAATCTATAGTTTACAAAATGAACCCTTGTCATGGTTAGTAGCCTATACAATCACACTATACAATATTTTTAGAAAATCTATAGTTTACAAAATGAACCCTTGTCATGGTTACTAGCCTATACAATCACACTATACAGTATTTCTAAACATCTACAAACTGAACCCTTGTCATGGTTAGTAGCCTATACAATCACACTATATAATATTTCTAAAAAATCTATAGTTTACAAATTGAACCCTTGTCATGGTTAGTAGCCTATACAATCACAGTATACAGTATTTCTAAACATCTACAGTTTACAAAATGAACCCTTGTCATGGTTAATAGCTTATCCAATCACAGTATACAATATTTCTAAACATCTACAGTTTACAAAATGAACCCTTGTCATGGTTAATAGCTTATCCAATCACAGTATACAATATTTCTAAACATCTACAAACTGAATATTTGTCACCGTTAGTAGCCTATACAATCACACTATACAATATTTCTAAAAAATCTATAGTTTACAAAATGAACCCTTTTTATGGTTGATAGCCTCTACAATCACAGTATATACTATTTTTAACATCTACAAATTGAATCTTTGTCATGGTTAGTAGCCTATACAATCATTTTTTTCGAATTATTAATTATTTACTCATTTATTTTAGAAAGAGATGCTAATTATTTTTTATTTATAGACAGAGGTAGTAGAAACGAAGAAGATATTACTTAATAATGTAGATAAACCATCTTCGTTTGCTTTACTTACACAAGTGTTAATCAGTATGTTTAAAGAATACTTGAAATACTTTTTCTAAATACGTTGATTTTTAAGTTACCCTTACCTTGAGTGAAAGCAAGAAGAAACACGACATAAATTATACAAAAGCGGACGATATCTCCTACTAGCATGTTGTAGATCATAGTAACAAAAGGTCCAGTTAACTTTACTGCACTGGAAAATAATAAGAACTAGTGAAACCTATTGCACAAAAAAATAATCAGCTGTATAGTCAACATTACTAAGAGTCACATTGTTATGGAATTAATTTAAATCATTAAAACTTTGCTTTTACAAGAAAAGGTAATCAAAAGATATTTTATAATTACTGTTTGCCAACTGTATATCTAATTATGAACAGTCCATCCTTAGCCAAAGGAAAGAAGGCCAGTTAATTTTTTATACTGAAATGACCAACAGTTAATCGTTAGCCAAGAGAAAGAAGGGCCTTTAATTATTTCTGTCGACATTATATGATATCTAAGTATAGTTGTAAACTATATTTTAATGCTGTAACTTAAATGTTTGCTTGAGGAAGCTGTGGGTATTAACAAAGATGTTATGCTCAGAAGACTTAATACAATAGGCCTAGAACACGCAGACAACTTTAAGAATGTGACATAATATTTTCTTGGGTTGTCGAAAGTAAATTATATATATATATATGAGATTGTCAAGATAGTGATTCCAAAATAAAGTGTGCACGAGGTAGTATTATTTATCGCAGTTACTTTGTAGAAGTAAGTTGATTTGTTTTATGTCACTTGACACGTAAGCCTACAACAAAGAAACAGAGTAATTTATTATCGTTATTTGAACTGATAATTCAAAATAACCCTCCCACGAAAGATCAACGTTACGACATGTGATGTATACTTTGAATATATTTGAAACAGAAATTCAACTGCTGAAGGTGGTGACAACGAAGTGAAGTTGTAAAATTAAAGCTTTATTTGAGTTGAAATTATTAAGAAAAGATCAGGAAGAACAAGGCAAAAAATTTAAAGACCAAGAAGAACGTGGTAGAAAATGAGAAGAGGCAGAAAATTAGAATAATGTGACAATAATTTAAGAAAAGAGTTAAGAGAAATAGACGTACTATTTAGGTAATAATTAAAATTGAAATAAATCTGATTAAGTACAAGATCAGTGAAACTACTGAAGATGTACAACGATAGAGCAATAAGACTGATGTAAGGAAAGGCTGTAATGACAAAATTGAAAAGAACAGTGAGAGAATAGATATCTGGAAAACGAATTAGTAAATGTAAAGTTTAAACCACCCACACCTCTTTCTACATCACCTTAATAGTTCCAACATAAAACACTATCTACTATGAAACATGGAAGATGAGAACTTATCTAGTTTACATCTATTACTACTGCTGCTGTGCCATCTGTTACTGAAGGACCTTTCTGGACTACTCCAGCTATGACACTAGTAAATCAATTCTAGAATTTATCCAGCCAACTCAGCACTGGCCAATTAAGAAACCAACAAGTTATGATGGAAGGTGTCACGAGAGTCATGCCAGGCTTAGTTTGAAATCATTTCCAGAGAGAACAGGTGGAAATGTAACCAAAAATGCTAACCATCTTGCTTGCCTATCTAAAAGGGCTAGCTTTTACAACATTAAATAACCTTCAAATTGAGGGCCATAACAACTTTCAAGCATTGATAGTCAGCCGCCTTATCCAACAGGTTCGAAAGTCGCAGCAGAAAAATGTTTTCAGAACAAAGTTCCAGAAGAGCTCTTAGCCAAACTTGCAGAATATTTCGAATGGCTGTTCCCATTATCTTACCCACACTGTTCTTGTGAAATGGTGGATTCATTGGCACGTGATCACTTTATAAATGTCATAACAGACGACTATATGGGAATTAGACTGAATCAAAGTAGGTGTACGTCTTTAAAGAAAGCTCTGCAGCTGACAATGGAACAAGAATCCATAAGGTTGCAGACAAACAGCTAAAGACATCATCTCGAAATTATGTGATTATTAGAACGAGTACCGTTGAAATGTCGCTTCCAACTGAGAAATATTTAGGAGAACTGGAAGGATTAGTTAAACAACTAGTTACACAGAATTGAGGGAATATGGCACAAGACAGTAGGTGCTTCAAGTGTAACTTGAAAGGGTATATTGCCACAAAGTGTAGACAAAAAGCATGCAGGGAATAAGAACTCCTCTTAATGGATGTCAGTAAAATGGAACTGTTATAAATGTGGGAACATGGTTATTACAGCTAAGACTGTGAGAAACAGACAGCTGTTCAGACTTCAAGATGACAATATCCCAAGAATAACTATTTGAGCCCACCTAGATTGAAGAAGAAAGGGGTTAACCAAGACAATGGGAAACGGGAAATAGCTTGACATACAGGGCAAAGTTCATCTGCGAATACCTCACCTGTCACAAATGAGATAAGTTCACTATTTAAAGAAATTCACAAATTCCCGGGTTTATTGAAGGGAAACCTTGAGTACAATAGTAATGAAAGGTGATAATCTGCCTCCTTACACGACGAAAGAAGAAGTTGTGATGCAAACAGCAACTGGACATAAGGTTCCAGAAAGAGGAAAGATAGAAGTTAACCTTACTGTAGGAGACTTCTCTATGCCTCATGACATTGAAGAAGAACGTGTATAGTAGGAACTGACTTCATGTGGAAACATGGGTGTGAGGTTACGCTAGCTTCAAATAACTTCACAGTTTATAATCAGGAAATCCCCGTAGAGTACGTGACAATTACTACACCAGAGGTTGAACTTCCAGTGACAACAAGAAAACTAGTGATTATATTGCAAAGAAATGGAGTACTTATACCAAAACATGTTCAAAATAAATTTACACGAACACAACAAATTTTAAGATTTGAGTGAAATTTGAATCAAACATTGCAAAATATGAGGCTGTACAGGTAGTATTTTTACATCAAAGTACATCGGGAGTGATCACTTTTGAGGAGAGATGCTGGAAGTTTGACGTCAGACCCTCAAATAACGACAGCTTACCACCTCACTTACAAAAATTGTATGATCAGTGCTATGGAAGTCTTAAAAATGATGAGTGTTAATTATTACATTACTTGATCATGGATACCAAGACATCTTCTCCAGTAGATCTCACGACTTAAAATGAACCAGTAAAATATTTCACAAGGTTGATACTGGAGATGCAGCCCCAATATATTATTTGACTATATGAATTGCACTTGCAGACCGGATCAAAGGTTTACAAAGAGATAGAAGCCATAAAGGAACAGGAAGTGATGGAACCGATTTCTAGTCCTTGGGCGTCATCTATAGTGCGTTTGAAGAAGGATGGATCCATAAGGACTACTGGAAGGTAATTGAAGTTAGAAGGAAGGACGCCTACTCACTACCAAGGATTAACTTAGTTTTGATTGCTCTATCAAGAACGAAATTGTTTTCAACATTGGATCTTAAGAGAGGATATTGGCAAATGGAGGTCGACAAGGCAAGTAAAGAGAAGACAGCCTTTATAACAGGAAACGAATTGTGACAACTTATTGTGTTACCATTTGGATTATGTAATGTTCTTGCTACATTACAACTATTAATAGAGTGTGCTGTGTATGAACTATCCTGTAATGTCGTACCCTGTAATGTTTACTTGAAATACATAATCACATATGGGAAGACCTTTGGTAATGTTTATGAAGGGCTAAGGAGGATTCTGGAATGGTTGAGGAAAGAGAACCTTAGCTTAATCTCAATAAGTGTGAATTATTCTGTCAACAGGTTTTCTGGGATACATGGTCAGTAGAAAAGTATCTACACATTCATTGAAGAATGACTCGATCCAGAACTGGCTAACACCAAATTACCTGCATATGAAGTAAGAAGATTTCTTGAACTGCACTTTTACTATCATCGTTTTGTAAAATATTTCTTTGTCATAACTCTAAATAAACAACTTGAAAAACAAAATATGTTTTGTTGGACTGCTGATTGTGAACAAATATTCAACAATCTGAAGAAGGAACTGACTACTACTCTGGTATTGGCATGTCCAACTCTGGAAATTTCATTCATTTTAGACATAGATGCCAGTGAGTTTACAGTGGGAGCAGCTTTGTCACGAGTGCAAAACGGAAAGGAACATCTGCCTGTCTACTATAGCAAGGTATGAATGCTGTAGAAAGGATGTATTGTACAACTTCAAAGAAGTTACTAAATGTTTTTCGAGCACCAAGCTACTTCCATCATAACATATATGGACAAAAGTTTATGATCTGGACAGATCATATAGCTTTGAAGTGATTTGTGAATTTTCGTAACCTAAAATGCCAAGTACCAAGATAACTCCAAAAACCCAAAAATACAACTTTAACATCCTACATTTCTTTGAACAGAATCATAGAAATGCTGATACATTATCCTAAAAAAACCGTGTGTCAATGAAGAGTGTAAAGACTTTAAGAAGAGGGAAGCACAGGATACAAAAGACGATCAACCTAAAGTATGCAAAGTATAGTCCAAGATCTGGCATTCATCAGTAATAATGAAGACCTGATGTGATCCAACACCCAATTGAAAGCTGATCAGACGAAAGGTGCTAGTAATTTGAGCTATTTTATGTTAGTTAACGTCATTTGAAATGTGGGCCTAGAGCAATTTGTGGCAGTGTTCTAGTTTGTAGAATCGTTAAAGGAGTAAATAAAGTAATTTTTTATCGTTACATGGACTAGACCAGTGCTTCTAAACCTTTCCCAATATTATTCACACCTATAAAGATTTCACAACAGCAACTTTACCCTATTTCGAAAAATGACAAAAAAGTACTAAATTAACAGGCAAAATTCTTTATTATGACTTAAATATACATCAAACTACAACTGGAATGAATACAACAAAAATAAAATGTATTTATCAAACTACAACTACAATAAATAATAATAACTATTGGCGTTTTTGCTCTTTAATTTGTTGTATAATTGATAATATTCATTCACCCTGCCATTCACCTCATCATTCTCATTCATCCCGATCTCATTAACCCCTGGGTGAACCATTCACCCACCTGAAAAGCACTGGACTAGAAGTTGAATTATTTTCAACAGATAATTAAAACTAACCCTTCCATGAAAGATCAGTATTACAATAATATATTTATATATCTAAGTATTGTTACTCCTCCAGTCGTTAATTGATTTTCCGTAACTTCGTTCCGACGAAACTTTGGCGACACAAGTCCTTACTTAATAAAACTGGTTTATTCTTTCTGAATATAACTTTACCGATACACTTATTTTCAACAGTCGCTCTATAACAAACGTTTTAACAACGAACGTTAACTTCAACAATACTTTCTGACTGCAGTTCAATTACTCACTACCTACACACATTTCCCGTCACGTTGTGAGAGTCTTATATATATACCAGACAAACATATATCTAGTAAATGCTAGGGCATTCACGAAGGAACTAGATATTTCTAGAAAATAGGTGGCGTGACACTAGTCACGTGACCTCGCTGACGCAACAATATTGTTCTAAACACAAAAGAGCTCATTTGAATCCAAGGCAAGCAGTCATAAACGATTTTTTATTTGTTAAAGTTAGGCCTGAAACTGCCTTATTCTGCTCCGCATTAAACGGGGATCGTCGTGTATTTACAAGCGTTTTTCACTCTCATCCATTACTATAATTTATTTTTTATCATTTAGGGAGCATTA